CAAACCGTGAGATCATGACATAAGCCAGTCAGAAGCTTAACTGACTGAGCCACCCAGGCGCTCCTAGAATTATTGGTTTAATTTTCATAACGACCCTTCCAGGGAAGTCCTCCTCCTTATCCTCATGTTGGCTGGGTAAGGAAACTGAGTCAAGGAGACATTAGGCAAACTTCTTAAGGTTACAGATCTAGCAAGTGGTGGAGTCAGATATTCAAAGAATCTCCGAGATTATTCCTTGAAAGGAGGACAAAGAAGGCTGACTTCTCCACTATGAGGCTGTGATTGTTGAGTTGCAATGAACAAACACGTCTGTAGACGAGATAGATGAGGCCAGACACGCATACTGTGTTACTGGGAATCTCTATATAATGGGGAGGGAACACCAAACTGGGGGTGGGGGAGAATGGACTATTTTTGAGAGAAAAAAAAAATAGTAGAGCTCTACCTCACACCACTTACATAAATTTGAGGTGGATTGCAGGCTGAAGATTCAAAACAGAGCTTGACGACTAACAGAAAACATACTGAAGAATTTGTCTTTTTGAACTCAGGGTGGAAAAAAAGGCCTTAAAGAACCAAAAGCACCACGGTGGCAATGTCTGATATACTTAACTCATTCCAATGTAATGACTCTGATGGTTAGTTTCATGCATGGACTTGATTGGGCTCAGAGCTGCCCACAGTAGCTGCTAAAGAAATTATTCCTGGGTGTGTCTGCGTGGGTGTCTCAGGAAGAGATTAGCATTTGCATCAGTAAACCGAGTAAAGACCACTTTCAGCCATACAGGTGAGCTGATCCAAGTCATCAAGTGCTGGAACAGAATGAAAGAAGAAGAAAGGCCAATGCAGCCTCTCGGTTTGAGCTGACACAGCATCTTTGCCTGCCCTGGGACATCAGACGTAGGGCCTCTGGTTCCCAGGTGTTTGGCCTATGAAAATTGGTGGTGGAGAACCTCGCCAAAGTGGAGCCGGGAGCTTTTGGCAGGGGGAGCTCTCATGTCAATTTTGGACCCAACAGGAAGAGACAGACTCAACCTTAAGTGGACGTGATCTTGCAGGTGGCTACTACTGGATAATAGCTGGAGGAAGAGGTGCTTTCCTCATCTCGGGCAACAGCTCAGCCAATGAAAAACCAGCACATTTGAAACTCCCACTTCACTGCAGTGGACATTTAATTTAAAAGAGCCTTCCCAACTTACCCCTGGTCTCCTTAAAAAAGCATATCTGCCCTTTGTTCCCCGGACTCGCGTACAGTTTTGCCCCAGCTTTTTTGTCTCACCCTGTGATTCTCCTTTTCCAGAATAAACCTATCTTTTGCTGGTAAATTTTTTTTTAATTTTTTAACATTTTTTAATTTGTTTTGAGATAAAAGTGGAGCATGAACAGAAGGGAACAGAGAGAGAGAGAGAGAGAGAGAGAGAGAGAATTCCCAGCAGGCTCCGTGCTCTCGGCGAAGAGCCAGACACGGGGCTCCTTCTCAGCACAGCGAGATCACGACCTGAGCAGAAGTCAAGAGTTAGATGCTTAACCAAATGAGCCACCCAGAGGCCCTTACTGTTTTGTTTTGTTACTTTTAAGTGTGATGGGACCCAGACTCAGACTTCTACCATTGGCTCCCAGATTCTCAGGCCATTGGACTCATGCTGAGTTACATCACCATATTTATGGTTGTCAGGCTTGCAGAACATTAATCTAGAAAATCACTGGATTTCTTGGCCTCTGCAACCATGTGAACCAATTCCTATAATAAGAGCTCCTCTTATATGTATCTCTATATATTCTATTGGTTCAGTTTACCTTTAGAACCCTAATTCAATGATATAAAAACAATTAAAAATTACATTCTAGGAGATTGTCATCATGCCAAAAAAAAAAACAAAAAAAAAAAAACAAACCACCAACCCCACAATGAATTAGTATCCTGAATATCACAAAACCTCCACAAAGGCAAAAAACAAACAAACAATCCCCTAGCCCCCCAAAGAGGGCAAAACCTCAGATTAGGCAATATTAACACATTATATCCAAATGGCTAGTATGAAAATATGTGCAGAGTTCCTAGCAATCAGGCAAACACAATGAGATTCTAGTTTTTACTCATTTATATTAGGAGGCATAAATGCATGTGATTTTTAAGCATGGGCCAGGATATAGAGAAGCTAGAACTCCCTCACTGCTAGTGGAGATATAAATTGGAAGCCAATCTGACTGTTCTAGGAAAGTTGAAAATGATCATTAAATACAACATAGTATTTCTATTTCTTTATACAAAGCTGTTCAGGAAAGCGTTGTTTGAATTCACAAAGATTTGGAAATAATCCTGTTGTCCATCAGAAGGGGAGTCAATAAGATAAAAATTGACAACAGACCTCGTTTAATTTGTTGGACTAAGACCTATATAGAGCAATGTCTTCAGAGCTTGTAAATGTAATATTGAGTTTTTAAAACCTAACGGGGGGTGCCTGGGTGGCTCAGTGGGTTAAACATCTGACTTCAGCTCAGGTCATGATCTCGCAGTCTGTGGGTTCAAGCCCCACATCGGGCTCTGTGCTGACAGCTCAGAGCCTGGAGCCTGCTTCGGATTCCGTGTCTCCCTCTCTCTCTGCCCCTCGCCCGCTCGTGCTCTGCCTCTGTCTCTCAAAAATGAATAAACGTTAAAAAAAATAAAAAATTAAAACGTAATGGGATAAGTTGATAAGACCACGCACACCATATTACCTGTGGCCGCATATACTTTTGTCTATAAACTTGAATATACACTGAATTCACCATTGTTCTCTCTCAGAGGTTAAGAAATGTCTAGAAGAGATCAGGGCAGTGAGAACAAAAGTGGCAATTTATATAATTGTTATGATAAATGCCCCTTGCTTTACCAAGATTGAGCATAGGAAAACCTTAGTGGACATGAGAGACAGCTGGAGATGGATGTCTTTTACTGAGAAGAGTAGTCAACACTGAGTGTCTACACTGAGGGTGTCGCCACGAAATGAAATAGGATTGTGAATAAAACTGCTTGCAGAAGCCCCTTCAATACCACCCTCGGCTCCCAGTCCTTTCAAGCAGACTAGTTTAGGGGCACTTGGGTGGTTCGGTCAGTTGAGCGTCAGTCTGTTTATTTTGGCTCAGGTCATGATCTCATGGTTCATAAGATCGAGTCCTGTGTCCGCTCTGCACCGACAGCTTTGACCCTGCTTGAGATTCTCTCTCTCACTCTCTGCCCCTTCTCTTCTCTTGCTCTCTCTCAAACAAACAAACAAACATTAAAAAGCTTAGAAAAGTTTATTGAGTACGCTGAACAACATTCTTAATATTTCTTGTCCTTATTGAGCAAGGCAAATTAAAACAAATATGTGAAAATAACTGGCTGAAAACAGAGGAATGCCAATGGGAACGATATTTTCTGGAAATCAGCTTTGTTTCTTCCCCTTTAAGACCCAACCCTTTTTTGAGCTTATGCTAAGCTGCCCGGGACATCTATCTGCCAGAGAAGAGTTTGTAAGATTCCTGAAACGTAATGAGAATCTCAATTCCTAACATTTAAAATAGGAACATGAGCCAGGGATTGCCCTTGAAATTTTCAGAAATCTTGCATTCCCCTACACTGCTGTATCCACAACTGATCTCAATTGGAAGGACCAAAGAAAACCCCTCAAGCTCTCAGTAACGCATTACACCGAAGTGTCTTCGTTGCTTATGTAAGATACGCTGTGGGTCCAGTTGCTCTCTAGGGCTGCTCTCTTCCAGATGCTTCCAGTCCGCTTCCATCCAGGGCTTTCACACCCCCCCCCTGCCCCCCCCGCCCCCACGCCGTGCCCGGTGTCCCTGGGCCCGGCTTCCCAAGCCCAGCATTCCAGAGTCTACTTCCATCTCCTGTCACATTAGGAAAGACCAAGGTGCCCAGCTGCATGGTGTAGAATGAGACACACGTTCCTGCATCAGAATTCCCACCCAACACTATGTTTTCATTACTCTTGCCTTCGGGGGTATGTGGGGCTTCCAATGCCAGAGCTTTCGTGATGTTCTTAGGGGAGAGCTGGAGGGAGGGGAGAGGCCCTTTGCTTCTCTGAAATGTTTCCTTCTGTACCCAACCCTCACTTGCAATTTCCAAGACTGATTCTGAGTTGTTCCACTTGTGTGTATTTTCAATTCTGACATTGAAATAACCATTGACTCTCAACACTATTGTTTGGACTTTCTTACTCCTGCCCCCACATCGTCACACCACAACTCAGTTCGCTGCATAAATCCATAAATCCCAGCATGTCAAGGGCTGTGTCAAACTTCCAATACCTTCTCCTCTCAAGGTGAAAAAACCCTGATACTTTACATGAGCTACAAGGGCCTCATATCCTACACCTTGCCTCTCTCTTTCTTCCTCTGTATGCCCAGACACAAATGAGCTTCCTCTCCATTCCTGAGAAAACAGAAGTTCCATGTTGGGTCCATTCCACTTACTGTTTCCTCTAAGTGGAAATCAGCTCTGGATGCAGCTTCCTTTTTGTTAGTTGGGTCTTGGCAGAGGTCTCCTGCTCAATGAAACTCTCCGTGATTCCTCCAACCTAGGCCAGCCCTGCCCAGTGTGTTCCAGCATCCCACCCCTTTCCTGTCTTCACAGCACATGTTAACAAGTAGAATTCTCTTGTCCATTTCTTTGTGCACATGTCTCCTGGGATGAGTCAATGAATGGGCCATGCAAAGTATTGAAAACGCAGTGCAGACTTGGGGATGGGGCACTTTGGTCCCCTGCATGCTCACCTCCCAGCAGCTGTGGTCCTACTGCCCAGAAAAGTACCAGGTGACTTCCACCAAGTCACCCTTAAGATAGGGCTGCAAGCCGAATCCCCTCACCCACCCGGTCACCTCATACCCAATAACCATCTGCCAAATTGCTTCCTCATCAACATCACGCAATGCAGCCAGCCAACAAAAATCAGCCTTGCTTGAAATGTTCTGATACAATTATCAAGAAAAGTGCAGAAAAGAATAACCTCAACCCCTCAATTATTTGAATGCACAATATTTATTAGAAACAAATTTTAGATTTTAACATTGTGGTTACCTTTAATACATTCGTGAACAAATACTGGCCATAACACATTTTGAATACATCCAAGACTCAGAAAGATCATAAATTATGTTCTGAGTCTCTACTGACCCATTTGGTCAAAACGGCCTTGTTTTGCAAGAAAGGGCGGAAGGGGTACGGTTGGAGAAAAGGCAGGGAGATTGGAGGAGAATCAAAACCCAGAAGCATTGGCCCAGAGGAGTCTGGGGAAGATTATGCTCTCATGACCTCAGCAGGACCTAGCTTACAGAGACACAAGAGTGTCTAGTGGATGAAACCTCAGTTGGCAACACAGGAATTAGCAGTGTCCAAAGACACTGCAGAGTGTGGCAGGAAGAACAAACTATGGCAAACATGATAAAGAACATGGACTCAACGCATCAGTGGCAACATCACTGGCCTCTGAAGACCAGTAGCTTGCAGGCTGGCCCAAAGCTCTGATGTAAATGTGGTGGGTCTCAAGGAGCCTCCACACACAAGAGCAGTAGGTTACAACATTATCCCCTGGGCTTAGGGGAAAAGGGCACAACTGTACCCAGAAGCCTCCGCAGGTTGCTGGAGCCCAGGGCTCAGTGGTACAGGGTTGTCCACTGAGGGTTCATCCACAGGACCGGGCAGAGCCTCAGGGTACTGGGCTGTGTGTGTTGTTCCCACCGAGAGACGCCTCTTGGCCCGGGCCTGGATGCTGGGCCCCCGGGCCCCTTGTTCCCGAGGACGACGACCAGGACCACATCTGCCCATTGAGGGATGAACATCTCGGGCAGAGGGAATCGGGGTCGGTGGTCGGGTGGGGCCAGGCTCCTGAGAAGTGCAGGCGGGGACAAGCCCAGACTGGGCATCAGAGGAAGAACTCTGGGCCGGCAAGGAGCGTGGGGAGGCCAGGCACATTGGGGTGCGACGGCCAGTCCCACCACTAGCGGCCACAGGCCGAGGGGTGCGCGTGGCCCGGCGGGGTGGGAGGTGCCTCAGGCCCAGCAGGGCTCTCCGGGGAGCTTGGGCCACCCTCCAGGCGCTGAGCTCCCCCTCTTCTGGCGAGGTGGGCTCCGTGTGGTCCACAACAGCCCGGTCCTGCCCGCGCTTCCACAGCTCATAGCGCTCAGGCTGCAGGATTCGCACGAAGGCGTCCATGGAGAAGGTGACCCTGGCCTCCCCGCAGCTGCACTGAGACGCCACTTTGCCATAATCGATCCATCGCGGGGTGGCGAAGTTGATGGCTTCTGC